AAAAAAAAAAAAAAAAATTTAAGTCATTGCTCGACAGAACATTAATTAAGAATTGACCAACTGTAATCCACCAAAATGGCTAAACTTAGTCTACAGCAGCCATTGTTATTTTCGAATCAGCTGACTTGTAGGGCACCTTGCTGGCTCAGTCAGTAGAACGTGCGATTCTTGATCTTGGGGTTGTGAGTTTGAGCCCCACGTTGGGTGTGAAGATTACTTAAAAAAATAAAGTTTTAAAGCAAAAACAGAAATCAGCTGACTTGTATTTACGAACAAATTCCTAGGCTTTTTACTTGCAAAACTATTCTTTTTTTTTTTTTTTTAATGTTTATTTTTGAGAGAGAGACACCGAGACAGAGTGTGGGCGGGGTTGGGGCAGAGAGGTAGACACAGAATCCAAAGTAGGCTCCAGGCTCCGAGCTGTCAGCACAGAGCCTGACGCAGGGCTCGAGCCCACAAACTACAAGGTCATGACCTGAGCTGAAGTTGGATGCTCAACCAACTGAGCCACCCAGGTGTCCTTCAAAACTATTCTTTAAATATTGACCAATGAGGGGGGTTGTGGGAAGGGGGATGGGCTAAATGGGTAAGGGGCATTAAGGAGTCTACTGCTGAAATCACTGTTTCAGTATATGCTAACTAATTTGAATGTAAATTTTAAAAAAGAAAATTAAAAAAGAAAAATATTGACCAATGAGCCTCATATGAAGTGCATATTTTAATGTCACTTGTATATAAAGATCAGACAGGAAGATGATGTCCAAAGAGCAGTCAGGTGGCTCCTCTTGAGACCAGTTCAATGATTATAAAAGTAATTATTCTCCCAAGCCAAAAGTCGAACTGATAGAATTGACCCGATCATTCATGAACCAGAAGAGAAAGTGCCAGAAAACAGCATAAACTAAACTGCTGAACATTGGACTGCAGTACATGTTGGCACCATGTTGGGTCTCGTAGCCCGTTCCGTACCTCATCCCAGCCTCTGTGGGAGGGTGGTGGCACCGGCCTTGAACCACAGCAAGGGGACGGCGAGGACTCCTGAAGCCAAGCCTCCTGCAAGGAGCATCCCCTTCAGGTTTTGCCATCCTGACCCTGGACTAGCTGGAGACCGGGAAATCTGTTGGGGCTACTGCTTCTTTTTACCGCGACTTTTTATTCCAGGCGCCTTTGACAGATGGGAGCTGATTCAAGCACAAGAACTTCACAATCAACTTAGGATGAAACAAAACTTGCAACAGCTCAATTCCAAGATCAGCGACATCACCACTTGGCTGAAAAAAACGGAAGCAGAGCTGGAAACGTTAAAGATGGCAGAACCTCCCTCTGATATCCACGAAATGGAGCTCAGAGTGAAGCAGCTCAAGGTGAGGGGGAGGTGTGGAGGGAAGAGGGATCCAGAACGTGCCTAGTGGACGCTCGCTGTGCAGGACCAGCAGGTTACACCTGTCAGCGGTGTAGGTGGCAGGCTGCAAGCAGGGGTAGTGCTCAGTCTGTCCCGTTCCACTTCTGTAACGGGCAAGGACGCAGATGTAGGTTTTCGTTTCCATGCAGAAGATCATCGGCACATGATCCCAAAGCCCCCAGCGGTGCTGGGGAGGTGCATCTCAGATCCCCTGTGCTGGAAAGATCTGACTTCAGAGACCCCTCTAGACTCGTAAGGAGGTGCTAGTGGGCACCACCAGGCAGCTGAAAAACGCCCTTCCAAACTGTGCAATCCAGGCTGGTGGGGGAGCATTGAGAATGGGGGCGGGGGGAGGATCAGCTCACCTGCTGATGAATTCTGTGGCCTGATGTAGCTACTCTGTTACCCAGTTAGAATTTGTCACCCACATAGTCGGCCGTTGCCCCACTAGAACTAGCCAGGGAGCAGGGGAGAGGCAATAGGAGCCCTGCGCTTTGGCCGGGGGGGGGCCTGAGCCTGAGCTCCTAAGACAACCCAGGGCAGGGGTTTAGGGTACCCAGGCAGTCTTCACATGGGTATTAGTATTTTACTTTGTGCATCTGTTATCTGGGTTAACTATTCACCCTAAGTAATAATACTTCTGTGATATCGAGGGATTCGTGCAGGTTAACTACATGTACTTTATCTGAAAGACTTCTAATGTGGTCCAGAAATAAGCCAACCAGGACTCGGCAGGGTCTACTCATGCCTGTGGCTGAGTCGACCAGCCAGGAGCCAGGCCTCTACTCTCAGCCTGGCCAGCCAAGGTCACTGACCTTGTGAGGCAGCTCCTCACCTGATACCGCCCAGCCAGTTGAAAGCAAGTTGGCTCTTGCTTCTGCCGCCACAGCTCAGAGAAGCCTTTGGCAGATCCGTTCCCTGCTGAGGTTCAAATGAACCCCACATCGCTATTTTCAGAATGCCTAACCCAGTCTTTTCCCTCTGCGGTAGGAAATACTAAAAGCCTTTGACACGTACAAGGCTCTAGTGGTCTCCGTCAACATGAGCAGCGAGGAATATCTGCAGACTGAGAGCGCAGAGTCCAAAGAGCTCCAAGGTCGCGTCGGCCAGCTGGCGCTGCACTGGGATGCAGCACAGGGTGCGGTGGAGAGCTGGAGAGCGGGCTTACGGAGAGCCCTCGTGCAGTGCCAGGTACGCCGGCCCCCAGGCCCGGCCCACATGGGTGGGAGAGGCAGATATTTTTATCCTAGTCAGGATGCTTTGGCACACAAACACAGCTTGTGTTAGGAAACATGTGCTTTATCGTTTTGTTTCCAAGAGGCTCAGCTGCTGTCCTGCCCTGTGTCTCCTGCTCTGCTGCCCCGGCCCATTCTTAGCATAAGGGTTCCAGCGAACATTCCAGTAGGTCAGAAATGCCGCCCCACGCTGCCCCATCTCTGTCCTTTTGCCAGGAGGACCGTATGTATAGCAGGGCGATTAAGAGACCTGGCTCAGAACAAGGAGTGGTTTAACCCAACCCTAGAGCTTTAGTAGTTGTGCGACTCTGAGCAAATCACTGTGCCGGCTAGACCTCTGTTTTCTCATCTGAAAAATGGGAATCATGTTAGTCCTTACCTCACAAGGTAATCTTAGCCCAGCCCTCAGCACATGGTAAATGCTCATCCCGTGTGAGCTCTAACCCCATCTCTGGAACGCGAGCCCCACCAGCAAGACCCCGTGCCCATGTGTCCCTGGGCCACGGCCTGTCCTGTTGGGGTGTCTCCCTTTGCCGCTGAATCCAGATTTGTGGAGTCGTTTGTGTGGTCTTTCTGTGTCATAGCAGGTGTGGCGTTGTGAAGCCCGGCCTTTCTGCTAGCACTCGTCACTTGACATGCATCACGCCTCCTGGGACTGTGCCACCTGCATCCTCTTTGTGGCTTTCCCTTTTCCTTGTTGGGGGGCCCTGGCATTTAGTTTAAATCTGGCCCTTTTATTCATCGGATAAAGACCAGAGCAAATACTATGAAGGCCCAACACATCAAGCTGCTTCTCAGCACACCTGCCCTCAGAGAAAGGGCAATACTATGACGTGTTGTGTGTGTGTGTGTGTGTGTGTGTGTGTGTGTGTGTGTGTGTGTTTAAAGGACTTCCACCAGTTGAGTCAAGATCTGCTACTGTGGTTAGCGAGTGCTGAGAGCCGGAGGCAGAAGGCTCGTGTCACGGACCCAGAGGCAGACCCCCAGGTGCTCCTGGAGTGTCAGGAAGAACTGATGGTAAGTTTCCTCCTAAGGGGTCCTGCACTGCCGCTGGCCCCTGGCAGGTGAGGACTCAGGGAGCTGCCCCTCGTGTTTCTTGGAACAACACCAGCGTGACATTTTGCTCTCGTGTTCCAGTTGGTAGTAGTTCTGAAGCAGGATGGCTTGCAGAGATGAAGGGCCAGGGCTAAAAGCAGGAAGTCCTTAAGACTCTCGGGAACGGGGGACGTAGGGGTTTAGCAATATCCTGAGAAACATAAGGCCGTTTGATTAGAAGTATTTTCTCCTTTGTGAATATCAGGACTCCCTGGGGGAAAATATGCTCAATTACTCCACAGACACAATGAGCTATATGAGTTTTCTAAATCTGCTATTGAAAAGTCTTTATTTCTTGAAGGGCAGTTGTGTTTTCATATATTTTTTTCACTAACCAGGTGACTTTCTTAGCCATAAGTTTGTAGGTGATTCAGTTATAAACAGTTTAAACTTAAAGTACTGGTCATTATTTTAAAAGCTTTTTTTTTTTAATGTTTGCTTAGAGAGAGAGGGAGAAAGAGAGGGAGAGAGAGAATCCCAAGCAGGTTCTGCACCATCAGTGCAGAGCCCAGTGCAGGGCTCAGTCCCAGGAACCATGAGATCACGACCTGAGCTGAAAGCAAGAGTTGGACACTCAACTGACTGAGGCACCCAGGTGCCCCTTAAAAAACATGTTTATAGGGGTACCCGGGTGGCTCAGTCAGTTGAGCGGCTGACTTCAGCTCAGGTCATGATCCCACGGGGTTTGTGGGACCGAACCCCACATCAAGGCTCTGTGCTGACAGCTCAGAGCCTGGAGCCTGCTTTGGCTTCTCTCTCTCCCTTTCTGCCCCTCCCCCACTCACATTCTTCAAAAATAAACATTAAAAATTCTTTAAATAAAAATAAAAAAATTTTTATGCTAAAATCCTTGTAAAGCCCCACTCTCAAGAAGAGTGCCGTCCAGTAACCTTTCTGCAGTGAAGAAGATGTTCTATATCTGCACTGTCCAGTCTGATAGCTACTAGCCACAGGTGGCTGTTGAGCACTTGAAACGTGGCTATTGTGGCTGAGACTGAATTGTAATTTTAAATCGCCACATGTTGTGTAGTGGCTACCAAAAGGGACAGCAAGCAAGGTAATCGACCACACAGGCTGACTCACCAGACACATGCCTCTATTCCTATAAAGTATGCTTAAGCTGCTGTTTCTCAACTTACCCAATTCAGATTTCTTCCTTGACTTTGCTCCTGTGGTGGACAAAGGTCTAGTCTTCCCCTCACTTCTTCCAACTCCTCCAGCCTCAAGCTGTCTTCAGAATGAGGAGTGGAAAATAGGGGCAAGGTGTCACCTACTTGCTGCCCAAATGATGCTAGACTTGCAGACACACCCAGGTACATAGCTAGTAGAATGTTCTGGAGTTGACCACCACCCATCATCCATCCCGGAACTGTCCTGGCACTAAGCAAGCGCCATCTGGCCACAGTAAGCAGCGGCTATTTTTATTTGTATTTCACACATTTTATTTTTAGCAACTGAAAAAGGAGCTCGTGGAACGTGAACCTCAAGTAAACACCTTACAAGAGCTTTCAAACAGCCTTCTTATTAAGGGGCATGGCGAAGACTACATTGAGGCTGAAGAGAAGGTACATGTTATTGAGAAGAAACTCAAACAGTTACTTGAGCAAGTGTCCCAAGACTTAATGTCCTTGCAGGGCAGCCAGGTGAGTCCACTTGTGGCTTTTAAATACGTGTGGTATCAGATGCCAACAGGAAAGCAGAATGGCAGGCCTCGCTGTGGGGCAAAGGCTATAAGCACGTGGTCCGAGTGGCGCCTCGAGTCCCGCCCCTTCTACCTGGGCGGCCTTAAAAAGTTACACAAACTCTTTGACACAGTTCTGTCCTTTACGAGAGAGACAATATGGTACCTACCTGTTCGTATGGCTGGCGTGTGAAAAACCAGTCTAATCCCTCTATCATTTCTGTCTTTCCTTCATGCGGAGTAGACTTGAGAGTACTCCTTCACCGTCCAGGGCGCTCTCTGCTGCCCACTCTCTCATTTTTCTACTTTCTTGTCTTTAAAATGTGCTCCAACTCAGAACGAATGGATACCCATACCATGGCTTCACCAGACTTGAGGGAGGCCCACCCCTCCATTCTAGAGTGACATTTCTACCTGTACAGCCAAGGCTATAGTGTGTTGATGGCCACATGATCCTTCAGCACATCTGGCAAGCTGTCAACCCTTGATGCAGCTAAACTCGGTCTCCCCCCATGTGCGCTATGGGTTTTTAATGCTGTGCTTGGCCTTGCCTTGTTTACATTCCTTTCTGACTGGAGAAGTCTGTGTTAAAGGGCTCTCTCTTCCAGAAAGATTTGAGCTGGGGGAGGGGTGAGCAGAGCAGTGAAACTGCATGAAGCACGTTTTGCGCTCTTGAGATTACTCAGAACCTCTGTTTCCCTGAACTGAACCCTTGGGGTGTGGATTTCAGAACCCAGACCCATCTCTGCCCAGCTTGGACGAGGTAGACTCTGGAGACGAGCCTCCAGCTGCAGCCACACCAGCTTCCCAAGCCAAGGTGAGAGCCCCTTTCTGCCCCGAGAAGCACGCTGGTTATTTTTTGAAGTTACTGAGATGACAGGAACTGGAGACTCCGCCCCCCAGTAGGCTGTGAAAGATGGGAGCCCTTCTAGTGTTGTCGAAGGGGCTTCGTGATCTCTCCCCATTAACAACAGATCAACAAACTGGACCGCGAAGCTCTTGTTACTTTAACAAACCCAATGATTTCTTACCTCCTGGAGTATAATCTCAAATGTATTTGTCTGGTTTCAAAAGCTTGGCAGAAAGATGAGCTAAGGAAGGTGTATAATTTAAGAAGGAAGGAGGTTTTATCATGGACAGGACTAACCAGTCTTCACTTACTAACTGGGTTGTTTTTATCCAGCAGTTTGGAGCAGGGAGGATGACGAAAGACCAGAACAAGGCGGACAGCAGGTAGGGGGGATGCAGTCACAGAAATGAGTCCTCTGTTCCACACACGCACACACACACGCACCTCACCAGTCTTGCCAATGCCACGCTCCAGGTGTTTGTAAGAACCCAGTTGACTTGTTTTCTTCAGTCTGGAAAGGGGCTGGGCTGCTCTTCCAGAACTGAACCTCAGTCGTGGGCACCCACTTTCACGTCAGGCCCCGTATGTCTCACCTAACGCAGGCAGGGGTCAGGTAGCTCGAGGGGGTGCGGCGTCCGGAACCTCCTGCTCACCTCTTCACCTGGTCTGTTGGCAGGGTGCCCAGCCCCGGCAGCTCGCGGCCACAGCGCTCCTTCCTGGCACGGGTGATCAGGGCGGCGCTGCCCCTGCAGCTGCTCCTGCTGCTGCTGCTGCTCCTGGCCTGCCTGCTGCCCTCCTCGGAAGAGGACTACAGCTGCACGCAGGCCAACAACTTCGCCAGGTCCTTTTACCCCATGCTGAGGTACACCAACGGGCCGCCCCCCACCTAGAGGCCCCGCCTGGCCTGCGGCACCTCACCACCGCCCGGCTTCGCGGGTGCCTGACCCGGCCCCTGCCCCATCAGCGGCACCCCGCGGCCGGGCTGGGATCTTGCCGCAGACACCGCCCTCCAGGCTGGCCGGAGAGGGCTTCCGAATGACATTCTGCCCTGGGGGCAGGGAGCCGGGCAGCGGGCGCCCCAGGCAGTTTGACATAGCTCTTTGATGGGTCTGGGATCTCTGGAAACTGCAGCTGCCTGAAGAGCCGAGCTCTCCGCGAATTCCGATTTGAAAAACGACATTATTAAAATGTACCTACTCTGCTCAACGGACAGTAGCGTTCACCCCACGTTACCGAAACACGCTAGCGGATTCCACCTTAGAAATGGTTCGGAAACTCACGTGCACCCTTAGCTGGTTGACTGAAACAATCATATTTAAGAGATTTAGAATTAATTTTACTCCAATCAGCTAGCAATCTTGAGCTACAGGTTATAAACCAAAATGTTCTGTTCTGTACTTAGGTCTGCTCTTTTATATTGCTTTAAATTTTTAAAGAAATTATATTGCATGGATGTGGTTATTTGTGCATATTTTTTAACAATGCTGGATCTGTATGAATAATGTAAACTTTGATTTTTTTAAAAGAATCAGATTTTAGCTTGACCTTTTGACTAATGTACAGTAAATGCCAAACTACTTGATAGGGATGTTTTTGTAAGTTAATTTTATAAGACTTTCACATTTAAAGTGATGCTTCAGGTTTTGTTTAGCTGTTTGGCCATGGGGGGGGGGAGGGAGGTTGTTACAGAAACTTGAAGCTATTTGTGGTATGTACAATTCAAATGTTTCTCATTAAAACAACCATACAAATACCCATACTTTTGTTGCACTGGATTATATTACAAGTTAAGTGTTATGCATAACCTTCTATAGAACAAAAATTATTTCTAAAATATTTGCTGGGGGGAGGGTGCACCTGGGTGGCTCAGTCGGTTAAACATCTGACTTCAGCTCAGGTCATGAGCTCAGGGTTTGTGGGTTCAAGCCCCACATAGGGCTCTCTGCTGCCAGCCTAGAGCCTGCTTTAGATCCTCTGTCCCCCTCTTCTGCCTCTCCCCACCTTGTTCTCTCAAAGTAAATAAACTTTTATTTTTGAGAAAGAGAGCGGGAGGGGGAGGGGCAGAGAGAGGGGGAAACAGAATCCAAAGCAGGCCCCAGGCTCTAAGCTGTGGTGGGGGAGTCCCCTCCCTAAGGAATGTGGTAAAAAAACAAACCCTCAAGATAAGGGAAGGCAACCTGGCTGCGTGCATACGTGACATCCCTCATGACCCTGTAACATGAGACCATCCAATCAGACTGTATGTCTATACGTTACCCATATATGGGAGACAAGCAGAAAATGCATAAAAGGCTACACCACCCGGGCGTCCGGGCTCACTTTTCGGTAGGAACCCAACTGAGCCCGTGCTGGCACGAATAAAGTTGCTTCCTGGAAAGAAAAGCCGCGGTGTTAGGGCTCTCTGTACAAGAAACCTGCTACACTGTCAGCACAGAGCCGGAAGCGGGGCTCAAACTCACAAACCGGGAGATCATGACCTGAGGCAAAGTCAGACGCTTAACCGACTGAGCCACCCAGGCGCCCCAATAAATAAACTTTTAAAAAATATATATTTGGGGGGATTTATTGGTTTTAATTCCAAGCCAAGCTTTATATTATTTAACTTTGTACAGAATAACTTGTGAGATCTAAACTCCCACAACCTGCATATGTAGAAATTACCCAGTGTGTGTCCCCCTAGTGCTGTAGGGAGTGATGAAGGCAGCATGGTGGGGAAGGTGGGTACAAAGGAAAAGATCATTTCACCCAGATTTTTCTATTCCCAGCTCTCTCCAAAGCGAACAGATTTTAACAAATGTTACAGGGATTAGAAGTCGCTGAACCAGTTCCTGGGTTAACTGTTCCTAACCTGCAGCTCTTGACCCACGGGAGACACCACTGACCTAATGGTCACCTCGGTCAGTGCCCTCTCTCCTTCTCTGCCGAGCACAGACCTCAGGGGAAGCCAAGGATGCTTATCTGTGGGTGAAGCCCAGACTCTCAGCGCCAGTGGCCCCTTCTGCAGGTGAGACATCCCCAGGACATGTGCAGTTCCCAAGCCGCTTAAGGGACCAGTTGGAAGAAAACCAGTCTCCACTTTAACAATTGACGAAAGTGTTTGATAGGGAGAAACGGGCACTTCAAAAAAAAATTTTTTTTTTAAGTAGGCTTCATGCTCAGTGCAGAGCCCAGTGTAGGGCTTGAACTCATGACCCTGAGATCAAGACCTGAGCTAAGATCAAGTCAGGCACCTAACCAACTGAGCCACCCACGTGCCCCACTGTACTTTTTTTTTTTTTTTAACCGCCAAGTCTTTTGATGCTTTAAAATAATTCATTTCTTTTCATGGATTACAAAAATTCCAGAGGAACATTTAAGGGAAAAATGATACCCAAACTTTTTTTCTAAGCCACTGAGTTGGTTAGAAGGAGGTCCTTGCTCCAGTTTTGCAGAATCTTGACCTCCTTCTCTTCCAGTCCAAAAGAGGTGATGGCTCCAGAAACCTATGACCCTGGAGCAAGTCAAAGTTCCAGTGAAAGAAAAGCGTCTGCATTTTAAAGCCTAATTGTACACATATATTCTCAAAATAACGGTCTTTGAGTCTTGAGTCTGTATGTCAGGCAAACCAGGACTCTTACGTGGGGGAGCTGCATTTTATTTGAACACACAGTGCCTGTGGTCATAAATCACCAGGGTGAGATTAGTTGACCAAAGATTAAATTGCTGCCATTTAAAAAGTCTTTGACAGGGGCGCCTGGGCGGCATAGTCAAGTGTCCAATCTCGTGGTTCGAACCCCACGTTGGGCTCTGCTGACAGCTCAGAACCTGGAGCCTGCTTCAGATTCTGTGTCTCCCTCTCTCTCAGCCCCTCCCCCACTAGCACTCCCGTCTCTCTCAAACTTTAAAAAAAAATTTTTTTTTAAGTCTTTGACAGCTTAAGACAGATTCTAACCCTCCTGAAATTGTAGGCAAGCATTTGTTGCTTATGTACCTTTTTCTGGGAAGACTGTCCATGGTTTTCATCAAGTTCTTAAAGGGTGCTGCAAACCTAAAATAGAATAGAATTCAGATATGGGAACACGGACTAATTAAGCCTAATTATTGAAAGTTCTTATATTCCCAACAAATACATTTTTAAAGCCAAAATTATGAAAAACACTTTATTTAGCTTATGTCACATTAAACTTCTTTCCATAAACATTAAGGGGACACAGCAGAGGGGAAAAGCAGTCGTGGGAAGAACGGAAAGCAGACCTCAAAACTTGCTGTCACACAACATTCATTTGTGAAAAGGCCCAAATGTACAAGGCTACTTAATGGTACAAAGCATTCACCTGAAAAAATGACAAGCTATAGCCAGCCAACAGGCTCTGAGGTACACAGGACCACCAGATGACAAAGCCACAGCACCAAGAGTCCGGGCAGTTAGACACCCAGCGCAGAAGAACAAACGTGCGGAGACCGTGCTAATAGGAGCTGCTCAGGACCAGCGTTCACAAGCCTTCGCCCTTCCCATGAAGGAAATCCTCCCACACATTAACAGCCAGCCACTGGCCTCACAAGTGGATAGGATCCTTGGAACTCCAAAAATAAAAGAAAGCGGGGGAAAGAAGGATCCTTGACTCCAAAGCAACAAAAAGGGTTATAAGAAGATTGCATATCGCAGAGACAGTGCACATCTTCGAGCTGTCACTGGAGCCGAAATTCCAGGAACTTTGAGAGCTACAAAGAATACACGGCATGTGTTTCACACGATTGTATACCAAACTCCACGGGGAAGCATCAGTAAGTACCTAAAAGGTGTGAGAATTTTACAGGGGTAAATTTCCAAGGAACCCCGTACTCCACTCCAGTGCATCTGGGGAAAGCAATAGCAGATAGGAGGTGACAGGAATACCACCCATTGGCTTAGGAGCCCAGGGTGAGGGAACACTAGAACTCTTCATTTTCTGTTCCACCTGTATAAAGTTTTCTGCAGGCCCCATCTAAGCCAAAAAGGTAGGAGGACCTAAAGATACAACAGAGGGCAACTGTAACTTTTTTTTTTTTTTTTTTTTTTTTTTGAGAGAGAGGGCACAAGAGCAAGGGGCAGGGAGAAAGAGAGAGGAGAGAGAGAATCCCATAAAGACAGAGAGAGAGAGAGAGAGAGAAGTGGGACACGAGCTCCTGAACTGTGAGATCATGACCTGAGCTGAAGTCAGATGCTCACGACTGAGCCACCCAGGTGCCCAGAGGCAACCCTAACTCTAATGTGTGTTACACACTGAGATTCACATCAAGCAGCAGGAGCAATGCTGGCCAGGCAGGCAGAAGACTTCCATTCCTGTCCAACTTTACCATAAGTAGTTTTATGACTTTGAGCAGGTCAGCTTACCCCTCTGGGCTTTAATTTTACGTGTGGATAAAAGCTGAGACTCAACCTCTATGTCAAGTTTGCAAGATGTCACTGTGCCTACAGGGTATTGCGGAAATTGGGAAGGTCCCACTTAAACCAGAGCAGCCACGCGTGTCAGATCGCAATTGATGAATAGATTCTGCAGTCTAAAAATATTTCTTTAGTGTTTTGGGGTATTTTTTTTTGGTGTGTGTTTTGTTTTGTTTTTAACTAAACTGCATGATTACTTTAAGCTTTGGAACTTTACTTGTGTTTAGCTCTGTCACTAACTGCCCTGTGTGACCTTGAGCAAGTTTGCTTGTACCCTCTGTTTTCCAGAGCCAGAAAATTAGGATAACGGTAATTATTATGAGGAGTAAATGCAAAAGTATGAGGCATGGAGAACTATGGCACACAGTAAGTGTTCCACAAATGTTACTTTTAGGTACTAAATGATGTATTTTTATCATTTCCTTCACGTAACCTTTATTATGTTTTCTAAAAGGCTTTCAGCAGCTTAAAGAAATGGGTCAAATCTTAATAAAAAACATTTTGTTTCAAAACAGACCTATATACTGAAGGTGCACCTTGAATTTGAAAAAGTGTCCCTATATGCAAGCTCCTTAGCTGATTTAAATAAAAACCAAACTTTTCACATGCTAGAATATTCTAGATTTGCTTCAACCTAGCTTACTTATATGATTATATAAGTCACTCTGCCAAGAACTGGTAACTCATGTCTTTTTACTGAACTCTAGAATAATTGCCTTCTAGCTGAGTCGGCAGGTGAAATAATCCAGATAAAGATTGTCTCACTGCAGAACTTTTGTTGATTTGCCTTGTTTTGGTTTTAATACAGTTGAGACCCTCTAGATTTGTTATTAGGCTGACAATCTTCCGTTCCCACCTCAAGTGTTTAAGAAAAATCTCCTCAAAATGATGTTAGGGTCGAATCCTCTGTAATGGTCCCAGTAGACAGTATGAATGTGACAGGCCTGAGGCCACACAGAGGGGACGGGGGAGGGGTGGGGGACACAGGACAACGTGTGCACACTCACTGTGCAGCCCCAGGCTCGCCCACACCGTCCTCTCTAGGAATTGCCAGTTCCCTCCCGGGATTCCGAGTGAATGCTCTCTTCTAACGTTCCCTGTGTTAAGAATATTCCATGTTAATTATTTCATTAACATTTGCCGTATGATTCTGTATGAGACACTCGTGCTTTTGGAATTAAGCCCAAATCTCATTCGTCTCCCACAAATAAGCTTCTTACATTAAACAATAACTTGCAGATCAAAATGGAAGAAAAGAATCTTGCCACACGAGTGTGAGGCAAAGCTAAGATCATTCTTCCATAATACATAAAGTGTAGCTGGGTGGGGTTTTTTTCCCCCTCTGATACTCAAAAGTTAATTCCTGTTTACATTTATCAGGTCCTATTTCCCCGAGTTAATTCCTTTTGAAAACTGATCTTGGAAACAACAAAATCCTGGCTTAGCTATGGCAGAATTTAAAGTTGTCTATAGATCACTTTGAGGGGTATGGATACCCCCCAAAAAAAGATGACATTTAAAAGAAAGCACTATTAAAGAGAAATGATTCATCTTTAAAATGGATACTGAGAGTTTACCAAAAACATAAAAACTGCACACTGGTGTCTTTAGAGGACACGTTTGGAGCAGATGGGCACAGAGATTCGAAACACTCCATCTGCAGTGGGGGAAAGGGCCCTAAAATATTCTAAACAAAATGAAGAACTCTTTTCAACTATACGCCATGTCATCTCAACTGCCTACTTGGCCCAGATCCCAGTTCTAAGAGACAGCCTTGCACGGAGGAGGCCCCCCCAGGCTAGACTAACCTGTACCAGCAGCACAACCCCCCCCCCCCCCCCCCCCAATGGCAACCTGAGCCAAGAAGAAATTACCAACGTGTTACATCCCCCTCGTGGCTGAATCTAAATGCAGTGAAGCAAGCAGCCTCAAGAAGCATGTGGGAATAATGAGGGGATGCGTAGTGGGTGCTGGAAGGGTTTACTCAAGCACATGCACCCTCCGGGCAAGCACAGGGTTTGGCACGGAAAGGTGCTTAGACACCTGAGACAAATCTGGTTTCTACCTTGGGCAGCAAAATCCAACCTAAAAAATGTCACTACATGCTTCTGTGGCAGTGGCTTGGACCTCATTCTGTTTTGTTTTTGTTTTTGAACCTGGTAGTCTCTTTTGTAAGTACAATTAAGAACATTTCATCAGCAGGGGCACCTGGGTGGCTCAGTCAGTTAAGCGTCTGACTTCAGCTCAAGTCATGATCTCACAGTGTCGTGAGGTCAAGCCCTGCATCGGGCTCTGTGCGACAGCGCGGAGCCTGCTTCAGATCTTCTGTCTCTCTCACTCTCTGCCCCTCCGCAGTTTGCGCGCGTGCGCTCTTTCTCTCTCGCATGCGCACGCACAAAATAAACAAACGTGAAAAAAGAGAGAGACAGAGAGAACTTCATCAGTAAATACTTGTTCAAGACTGCCTCCTTTGCCTCCCACTTCGGTTTCCCCAACCTGCTATCTTCTGTTCAACGTTCAGGGTTCTAGGCTGCCCAGAAAGAAAGAAAATTGACCTTCTGGATGACACTGGTTCCCCAGTTCCTGTAAAAGGCAGTCCATGTGATCTATACCAAATCTCACCTAGGCTGCAACACTGAGCCACTAGGAATAATTTCAGGCCACCTTAGACTACAGACAATGGCATGTTCTCTAGGTCTGTGTCCACGTGTTTCTGAAACGGCTCTGCTCAACTTTCAGTAAAACTGCACCAAAATTAAGAATTATCCAAGGACTCCCTAGCAGAAACCAACCTTTACAACATTGAATTTAATTTTCCTAATGACTTAGTAAATACAGAGTGTGCTAGCAAAGTAAACCTATTTTCGAAAAAAGAATGAGTTTAATCTCCTCTCACAAGGTAATTTTTTTAAAACATCATCAAAAAAATCATACATGATTATTTAACTGCTCACTTTCAAGGTACAGATGTAACTCATTTTACGCATTCACCATGTTCCTGAAGGTTTCCGTTATGAAAAAGTGAGTTAAAATTGTAATTTCAGAGGTGCTTTATCACCTCGTCCTATTTATGTTCCACTTGAAATAGGAACTAATAGTTTACAAAGTTCCCCCCCCCCACACTCACCATAGAAATGTTCTGATAAGAAAACAGTTCAAAAGAGCCGTAGGATGTAAAAGAATTCTTGCTATAAATATCCCTAAATATATATATA